AAAGAGAGAAGTGGCCCATCTTGTCTTGTACTATCTTTGATAAAAAATACTTCCCACTTAGGAATCGAATTCGGGTCCCCGGTGGGCAATGGTGAAGCATCCAGCCGCTGCACCACAGACGCCGCGTTATGTTGGTTTTTGATTGAGTAGGTGTTTTACGGCATAATCGACTCAATTTTGGTCACTTATTTCGGTGGTCAAGGGAAGTGTTGTTTAACTCAGATATGAGCAACTATGCCCAAGAAGCGTGCAGGATCCAGTGGGTCAGAAAAAGGAAAAAAATGGATGAAATCGGCTTAAAAACCGAAATCTCAAAGACGAAATTATAACTGACTATAAAAATATCTGCCAGTATTGGCCCTATAATAATGTTACACTATTGACACTATAATATATGTCACTATTGACACTGTAACAATATGTCACTATTGACCCAATATCAATTATGTCACTATTGACACTATAACAATATGTCATTATTGACATCATTATAACACTATGTCACTAGTGCCACTATATCAATGTCACTATTGGCAATGTTAAAATATGTCACTGGAGCGTAATGCTATATCATCAAATAAAAATAAAAGATCTTTTATTTATTTTAGGGCCAGAAATTTATTCAAGTTGATTTTCTAAGTCTGGCAGTTTTTTTCTTATTTCAAATTATAAACTCAGCACTTGTCACGTTGATTATTAATTGATTATTCTCCCTGGCCGGAGTGACATTTCTCGCAGTCTGCATTCGGCCCACGGGCGATGGTTGTTTTTTTATGGTTTTGATTTTTTGCTGTTGTTTGTTTGAGGTTTTTTTCTTGTTTTTTGTGTGGGGGTGGGGTGGTTGAGTTGTTGTTGTTGTTTTTTAATGAGTAGGAGTTTTACGATACTTGCAACACAATAAGGTCATCTAAGTTCCGCAGATTAGAGGTGATACTAGAGAGAAGTAACAAACACAAAAAAGGAGAGATAAAGACGATTGATGTTTGATAGGAAAGAAGTAGCAAATCACACCAGAGCACCCGCCAACCATCCATGGGCCATGGTTTGCCCATGTCTGGTTTAAACATTAACATATGTGTAGGTGGATTTACGTAAATTAAATTGACTCCCAGATAGTCTTTTGGGAGTGAGGTGGGTTGCGGGATAACCACTGATATTTCCCAGATGTCTCTGGTGGGATAAGGGGGAAAGGAACAGAGGGAGACCTGGAGAGGGGGGCAGACACCCGCTGGCGGGAATT